GATAGACATAGAAATCCTAAAACAATCATAATACATAATTCCATGGTATTCAAATTTGGACAGAGAAAAAGAGAGTAATTATTTTCTTATTTTTCATATGTCTAGTCCAAGAATTAGTTTCTTGACTTAATTAAAAGAAGGTGTCCACCCACTGTTGTAGTCTTGACTTTGGAGAATACCATTGAAGACTTGGAGGTTTGGCACATCGAGTTCTTAGAATTAAAAGCTGGAAGTTCATGATCCAAAACGTTGAAAGTTCGTGATTCAAATTCAGTTCAAGAATTCATCGTCAATTTTAGGTAAATAGTCGAATCTCTGATTTTTGATATAACGTACACGTGGACATCTAGACGATCTTGTTTCTTAAATTAATTAATTTTTATTTTAATTTATAGGTAATTCTGCTTCTGCATTCCAACAGCTTATTCCAACTTGTTTTGAATTCTCATTTTTTGGTGTGACATTACTTGCAGTGCTATCATCCCAATATGAATAAAAAATTTTGATAGTAAAAATATATATGTATTGACCTCTGAATTTGGTGGGATTCAATACTTCAAAAGAATTTCAGCGCTTTCTGTCCACGCATATGTTATCTTCACACTTGTTAGAGGCATAAACTGGGATACCTCTCCGAATAAGAAGATGGAGGTGTAGCGATCGTATATACTTAGACGCCAGAGTGAAAATGTCAATTCAGACACAAGTCTATGAGAATAATTTTGGCATGGGAGAAACTCGCAAAGACTAGAATCCGAAAATAAAATCAAAGTTTAGAAAGACCAAGATCAAATTTTCTAGATTGTGCATCCTCTTCATGTGAGAAATAACTTGGGTATTATAAGAAAAAGGCATGTGGGTGAGAGGCCACTTAGATGCTTGAAATGTGGTTTTATCTCAATAGCTCACTGGTCGCACTTTAGAAGTGTCACTTCCAGCCATCATAAGCATGTGGCAGCTTCTCCCTCCAAGTTGAAGTAATGATGATTTTGTTGCAAGCACCTCTTTTAGGTTGTCAAACCAATCATTTCACGCACAAATTGCCACTTGCCAAGTCGCATAGAATCGACTTCAACTGGCTCGAACTCAAGAGGGCTTCGTACGACAGAGTTGAACCTCCTCCCATTACCTCAAAGTTAAGGGGAAGCGAGGCTACTTCTTATGATGCCTCTGAGCTAAAGTCATGTGGTAATGACGATGGTGAGGCTTTGCATCGCCTTGGATGGTGTCACGATAGAGGTGTAACAGAATCAAGTTTCTAGATTGCTTCAATATGTCGTAATTCTTCCTAAACCAGTTGAATCAGATTTGTGAGATACTGCCCAATGCATAAATTGAATTCTTGCAATTATCATTATGGTCCTATAGTATACATCCCTTCAGATGCTTTACATGTTAAGTGCCATGAAATAGCCATAGAACAAATGGTGGAAGGTTATAAACTTTGAAGTTCAAGTTGTTTCTCATGTAGCTTCTGCTTTTGGGATGTACATCTATTCGCACTAGATGCTGCATTAAGCCATTAACTGAACAATTATCTTCAAGCCCCTCAATCAACAAATGAACTATGATCCTTAGGAAATTGAAAGATATTTGTATCTCATTGTATTAAAACTCGCAGTCTATCTCCAATCATTGCACCAAAAATTAGGATTAGTTTTGCACGAAACTGAAACTCATCGACAACTGAAACACCAAAAGTTGCACGAAATAAACAATACTTCATTCTTTAATTCTTAACAATTATTTAATTAATTATTTTTTTAATACATAAATTACTAAATATTCTATAACTGAACTTATGTTTGTGTATTTAACTACTCACTAAACTTTCAAATGTCAAGTTTTAACCACTAAATTTATGAAAATGTTGGACTTTACTTCGTTCAAATTTTAAGTGCTGCTTCAATTATTCATACCATGGTGGATGAGAAAGAAATGCAAAAGATAGGAAGACTTGCCTTGTAACGACCCAACCTCTATGTCAAATAGTTATATCATACATATTGCCCATTTTAGAAGAGCCTTTGCTCATCTTATCCCTCCACAAATTCATTGTGTTCTTAGGATTTGATCACAGACCTCTACCTCAACTTAATTCTATGGAAATATTTGCCAGACAATTGCCAGATTTTTGAAATCAAAGGTCAGGATTTATACAAAAAGGCAGGAAAAAAAAAATCAAAGGTTAGGAACATTTTCTGGTAAATTTCTGGTAAAATTCCCTGTACTCAGGGAATTT